AGGCAATACCACAACACTACAATGGCAATACGATGACAATACAAATGCAATAGGGGAGCAATACAATGGCAATACAAAAACTCCAAATTCCCCCTATAATTTCATTCCACATTCCCACTATATGTTCATAATCTACAACATATTACAAAAAGGACATGACGTCCTTAATGGAATCACATTTTACACTCCTACATCGTCAAAATACCCTCGAGCAAGGAATGGGCGGAGAGGCTTCTGTAAAAGTTGAGGATGTAAAAGATGTTCTTGACTTGAAGGTGGATTAGTTACTGGCCAAAGGCTTCTTAGGAAATTATTTTCCTTTCGCAACTCTCCAAGAGCTAATCCAGCCTGAGGGAAAAAACAGAGTCAGAGATACATAGGCATAACCAGTGACACTTGAGTACATTATGAACGCCAGAGAACTCAGATAAATCACCAACATAATTGTCCTTCATAGATTAGGCCTAGCTCTATCTCAGCACCTTGACATGTTGGTGGCAGGTGGTTTCTGCTCCAACCACTTCGTGAAATTAACCAAAATAAAAACCATTCTCCAAAATTGATTATGGTTCCAAAACAATACCAGGCATTAAATTAACACATAAATGTTGAGAAAAATACGAAGAGCAGAGAGAGAGAGAGAGAGATCGTAAATAATACTTCAGCCAAGAATAATCTCAACTCCTACACAAATCACAAGCAGATAAAGAAAAATGATATCAACATATATTCCTATTAAATTACAGTAACATATCAATAAAACACCAAAAAAAAAATCAATATAACAGAAATACCATAGCAATACAAAAGCAATACCACTACAATACAACTGCAATAAAATCACAAAACGATTGCAAATAGCAAATCAACAATGCTACCTCACTATGATATAATCATAACAAGTTCATAGAAAATCCCAATACCAATTGCAAAAATCAATCGACAAAGAACAAACACATTTGTTGTTTCAAACAAACAAAATCAATCCCAATACTTCACTTTCTACACAAAATTGCAGACAAAATCAATCGACATAGGTGATATTTGCAAAAAATTTGGGAAGAGGTATTTTCAGATAAAATTATGAAAAGGGTGGCATTTTGAGCTATTTCCCTAGATTCAATATGCTTAGCAAATTGACTCTAATCGAGTAGCACTGTACAATGTACATGACGAAGACACACAACACACGCATATGAAGTAGAGAGAACAACCTGATATATGGGTGCTCTTACTAAACCAGAGGTTCCCAACAGTCTCCTCCCATTAGCATCTAAAGCCATTTCATGTCTGCAATTTTTTGAGCTCTCAGGGTCACAAAATCTACAGTATGGAAGAGAGTAATGTTAGTTAATCAGGTGTATGCCCAAGTATTTTTGTTTGATAAGACTGCTGTGCAACCAATTTCTATATGCCAAAGAAGGTACCTGCTACAGTTTCTTGACCAAAGGATTTGACCTTGGTTTTGCAAGCTCCATTCAAGAACCTGACACCACAAAACCAGTTCTTTTAAGTAAATACTTTTAAGATAACAAAACTATAAGGCCATCTACAGTTCAAAAAATGATGGGGACAACATTTCAAAATGCAACAGTAGTTAAACTTCATGGGAAAATTAACGTAAAGCACTTGCCTTTCCATCTACTCCCAAACTGAAAATACTTGTCTCATCAGGCCCAAAAAGAATGGAGCTTATAGCAGGGTCGTGTGCTGGCCACCCAGTTATTTGTAGACCGGCAGACGTATCTTTGGCTTGTTAAGGTGTTCATATATCTATCCGCATGTACATCTGCAGGAAACCTCAGCTACAGAAAGGGGCAACCCATATATGATTCTACGAAGACATGGGCTTGACCATACAGTTAAATGCCCTTGTTGAGGGTGATTTAACCATCTTGGAAAAATAAATAACACTCGGGCAATGCAAAAGTGTCAAAAACATGGGTTTTCTGCTCATTTGAAAATCATTTACCACCTAATTTCCTACAATTTATACCAAGCCCTAAAATATATGTGAGGATACCAAACACGTGAATCATTCCATCAGTTGCAGTGGCTGCTAAAATCTTTCCATTGTGATTGAAACTAAGGGATGTAATTGCAGGTGGATCTTTACCAAGAGGAAGAACTGTCTTCATGAAACCCAAAAGGTTATTTAAGGCATAAAAATACAAGTTTCTTCTCACAAAAAGAAGAAGGCATTAAAACATAAGTGGCTATAGCACATACCATAGCCTTCCATGTCTTCATGTTCCACACAGTTAATGAAGCGGACCCGAGACTATCAAGGTGACTTGATCCATGCCTACAAAGACAATAAACTCCTAATTCTGACATGTATCAAAATTAAATACCCCAACACACACATACAAGGACATAGATGCATGTACTTAAGTTATAAGATGAATCTTTTCATGATCCAATTATAATCATTTCACAGCATGGTGCTCATACCACACTTCAGTTGAATAGGATTGTTACAATAGGGGCAACATTTTGGTCAAACACAGAGTCTGGCATATGAACAAAATGATAAGATTACAGAAAGAACATACCCCTTGGATGCTGCTGCAGAAACAAATATTGGCTCTACAGGGCTGCATTTTATATCCAAGACACTATAGAAGGGAAAACAAAGGTCAATAGCAACACCAAGGAGTACACAATAGTACCAGTAATATTAGGAAGGACCTTGGAAATGCTTCACTCGTATTAAGATCGCAGACAACTCTCTTTGCATCGACATTCCATGCTTTAATGCCTCCATCAGCAGTGCCTATGAGAAGCTTTTGTCAAAAGAAAAAAAAACACTTAAAAATAGATATATCCAATCTCAAATAATCAGAGTATGATTTCAAGGCCAAGCAATATTTGAGTTCATTATGAAAATCCAATCTGCATACCAATCGGTCAGATTTACATTCCCAGTCAAGTGACATAATTTTGGCTCCGCAATAAATGGTTGCATTTCTAGATGCCAGAGTTGATGAGTCATATGTCCATATCCTATTTAAATATGTATGAAGAAATACAGATTGCAAAAACTATGGTTTTATCTCACATTTTGCCCTAGACATAAACAATCAGTCACCATTTATAATTGAAGTAAAATACAGCATTAAGTTGGCAGCATAAATAAGAAAGACAAGGGGGTTAAAGAGATCTAGGGTTTACAGCAATTGAAATTTGAGGAATTGCAAGAAAGAATGGTACCTTCTTGTGGAATTGCAAATGAAGCACAGGGGTTTTGTGATTTACAAAGGGACCTGGGAAGTCCGATTAGCCTTCCCAGGTGGAAGGTAGAGTGAGAAATATAAGTAAAAATGAGATTGGCGCGACAGAGAGAGAGAGGGAGCGAGAGCTACACGACAGAGAGAGCTGCACAAGAGAGACTGAGAAAGACCGAAGAGAGAGTGAGAGAGTGAGAGTTGAGCGACAGAGAGATAGAGTGAAGAGAGAGTGAGAGCTGAGCAACAGAGAGACACGGAGCCAAGAGAGCTGAGAGACAACAAAATTTCTGAAAAAAGTGATATGTGTGCAATCAATGGACAATAAATATGTATTTATAGGTGATAGTTTTAAAATTTTTTAAAAGGGGTGGTATTTTCAGAAAAAATTATAAAATGAGTGGCATTTTGAGCTATTTCTCAATTATTTTTCCATTAAATTGTCATTATCTAATACCACGTGAAATACTTTCATTTGGTTTTAGATGTACATGTATATCTATTTTTTGTTACAATGTATATGTATACATAAAACATAAAAGATTTCCCAAGTTACATTTATACAAACCAAGATTAAACATACATTTAATTATATCAAACAGAAACTATCTCTCCCTATATAAATTAAATATACATATAATTATAAGTATTGGTGCTATCTACTATACTACTATTTCCTTTAAAATGTTCATAATTTTTTTTAAAGATGACATAAGATTTAATATTAACTAACAATGAATGCACTTGTTTAAATTATGAATTTTTTTTTTATGTAACTAATGTTAGTTAATATTAATATATTAAAAATTATATAACATTTTTAGTTGGGTCACACATTTTTAATTGTGCAACTCTTATTCATGGTAAGGTTTATATAACATTTCCAACAAAAACAGAAAAACAAAAAGGTTTAATATGCCATCAGCCCAGTTACTTTTATCCCAGCCCATTTTACAGCAGCCCAAATGCCAAATCCCAACCCCAACCTAATCCCCTAGGTCATGTTTGATGGGCTAGACTGGACTAGATATATTCAATTAAAATGGACATGGGTCTAGTTTGTTGTTTGATGGGCTTAATTGTATCACAGGCTGGATATTGGACCTTGGATCCAAGTCCCAAATACCTACGGCTCTGGAACCCAACCTCAGACGTGGGTTTACAACAACACGAGCTCCTCTTCATCTTTGTGAACGCAAGCTCCTCGTCATCTCCCTCAGCCTCCTTCACATCGTATGTTCTATGATTTTGCCTTCTTCTCTCTCCTCTCTTCTCTCTCCTTTAATATTAATTTTTTCGATGAAATGATGTGTTTGTACCAAAAATTGGATTTTTGCCTAAAATGGTAGATAATTTTCCATGGACATCAAAGTGGCCAAAATATGGCTAGACATGCATTGCTGCAGTCAGATGGAGTGGGCCCAAAATTCAAATTCAGTGCTCAAATCAAGTTTCATCCTCCTCGAAAGTTGTTCATCTCTACATCTACTGCAACATATCCAAATTTGGGTTTATTTGGACAAATGTGGAGTCCTAAGAGCTAAAAACACCAGATGCACAGCGCCAGCAAAAAGCTTATAGCAGCAATTCGGGCCTAATTCGGGCCTAATTCCAATGCTCTAATGAATTGTCTTTCTTCATGAAAGTTTTGCATTAGAACATCTACTGTAACATATCCAAATTTGGGATCATTTGGATAAATGTGGAATCCTCGCGACATCAAACATCAGAAGCATACCAGCAACAGCGAAAGCTGATAACAGTGGCAATTCGGGCCAGCTTCCAGTCCTCAAATGAACATTCGTTCTTCATGAAAGTTATTTATTTGGATGTCTACTACGACATATCCGAATTTGGCGTCATTTGCACAAGTATTGAATCTTCAGAGCATTAATCATGATTTCTGTTCGTGAGAGCAGTTTGTGTCGACCAGTCAGGTGTAATCATGCTAAAACCAGATTTTCTATTGCTCAAAAGGAATTAAGTTCTTCATGAATGTTGTTCCTACTTATGTGGAGAACAACATATCCGAAATTGGCAGCAATTGGATCAACCTAGCATTCCCAGTTTATTACGCATCAAGGCATGTTCAGAGGAGAAACTCAGTGGCTGCAAATCAAGTTTCACTTTATCAATGGAGGGACTTCATCACCAGTGAGTTGATTCAGAGAAGAATAAAGTGAAGATGTGGTAGATGGAAACAATTTAATATTCAGTGTGATGAAGAATATTAAAACAAAGCCAAAGCCCAACATACACGTGAAAAGTCTACACCGAGGTTGAAAGAAGAATAAAATAATATGAAGTGGGCTTAAAGAATGAATAAATAAAGAAGTAGAGATTGTGGTCATTATCTCTACATTTCTTTTTGTCTTTTAGTCAGCTACTTTTAGCGAAAATAATATGAAGTGGGCTTAAAGAATGAATAAAGAAAGAAGTAGAGATTGTGGTCATTATCTCTACATTTCTTTTTGTCTTTTAGTCAGCTACTTTTAGCTGTCACTCACCAATCAATGGCAAGTGGACTAATACTTTGGACTTCTTTAAGTCTAACAGTGACAACTTCTGTCAAATCACATCAAAGCCTCTTAGCAACTTTTTTGGGTTTACTTGTATTTTCAGCCACCCACTCACCAAAACCAATGGCAAGTGGGTGCTTCAAATTGACAGCTGGTCCACTCAACGACCTCCATTCTCTATAAATTGAAGGAGAAATCATCAGCAAAAGACACACACAACTCAACCAACAAAAACCAGACTCAACATCTATAAACCCAGCTCAAAAGCTTGAAACAGCCTTCCTTTTTCATTCTCTGAATTTCCCAGTTGAAAACTCATGAGGAATTTTCTTTATTTTGCTCTGCCAACTCTTGGTATGATATTTCCTTGTACAAGATTGAATCGAGAAATCTTTAATCTCCATTTTAATTTCATGTGCCAGGTCTGAATAAAGAAATCTTCAGGCTGTGTTGTTCCTCTTTTTTTTTTAAGTTGTCTGAATAGAGAAATCTTCCGATAAACTTCTGTCATTTCCATAACCGTTCAATTTTAGCTTCTGTCAGTTATCATTTTTGCACTAGATGATTATTGAAGTCCTCTTAACTGAGGCATAGAAAAGAACCTTGTATTGGGCCAGTTCCCCACCCAATCCACAATCGATTGATCAAAGTCAATATCAGTGTGCATTTTCCAGTCTTACCATTTTCAATATGTTGGAGTGGTTGGGGGAATTCATAATTCTAGCGTTTGGATTTCACTCAAAACTCACCAAATGACTCCACCCACCGTATTATGATGTTGCCCAAGTTTTGGGCTCGATCCGAAATCAATAGGTGTAAGAAATTGGACAATTCAAGTTCAAAGGCAGTTCGGTCCAAATTGGAGTGGTTGGGGGAATTCATACTTCTAGAGATTGGATTTCACACAAAACTCAAAAAATGACTCCTCCCACCTTATTATGATGTTGCCCAAGTTTTGGGCTCGATCCGAAATCAATAGGTGTAAGAAATTGGACAATTCAAATTCAAAGGCAGTTCGTTCCGAATTGGAGTGGTTGGGGGAATTCATAATTCTAGCGATTGGATTTCACTCAAAACACACCAAATGACTCCTCCCACCATATTATGGTGTTGCCCAAGCTTTGGGCTCGATCCGAAATCAATAGGTGAAAGAAATTGGACAATTCATGTTCAAAGGCAGTTCGTTCCAAATTGGAGGGGTTGGGGTAATTCTTGATTCTAGCGATTGGATTTCACTAAAAACACACCAAATGACTCCTCCCACCATATTATGGTGTTGCCCAAATTTTGGGCTCGATCCGAAATCAATAGGTGTAAGAAATTGGACAATTCAAATTCAAAGGCAGTTCGTTCCGAATTGGAGTGGTTGGGGGAATTCATAATTCTAGCGATTGGATTTCACTCAAAACACACCAAATGCCTCCTCCCACCATATTATGGTGTTGCCCAA